CTCCCTCCTAAGATTTTCTATTGGTCTGGAGACTGGCTAGGCCACTCCAGCACGTTGAGATGCTTCTTACGGAGCCACTCCTTAGTTGCCCTGGCTGTGTGTTTCGGGTCATTGTCATGCTGAAAGACCCAGCCACGATGCTCTTACTGAGGGAAGGAGGTTGTTGGCCAAGATCTCGCGATACATGGCCCCATCCACCCTCCCCTCAATACGGTGCAGTCATCCTGTCCCCTTTGCAGAAAAGCATCCCCAAAGAATGATGTTTCCACCTCCATGCTTCACGGTTGGGATGGTGTTCTTGGGGTTGTACTCATCCTTCTTCTTCCTCCAAACACGGCGAGTGGAGTTTAGACCAAAAAGCTATATTTTTGTCTCATCAGACCACATGACCTTCTCCCATTCCTCCTCTGGATCATCCAGATGGTCATTGGCAAACTTCAGACGGGCCTGGACATGCGCTGGCTTGAGCAGGGGGACCTTGCGTGCGCTGCAGGATTTTAATCCATGACGGCGTAGTGTGTTACTAATGGTTTTCTTTGAGACTGTGGTCCCAGCTCTCTTCAGGTTATTGACCAGGTCCTGCCGTGTAGTTCTGGGCTGATCCCTCACCTTCCTCATGATCATTGATGCCCCACGAGGTGAGATCTTGCATGGAGCCCCAGACCGAGGGTGATTGACCGTCATCTTGAACTTCTTCCATTTTCTAATAATTGCGCCAACAGTTGTTGCCTTCTCACCAAGCTGCTTGCCTATTGTCCTGTAGCCCATCCCAGCCTTGTGCAGGTCTACAATTTTATCCCTGGTGTCCTTACACAGCTCTCTGGTCTTGGCCATTGTAGAGAGGTTGGAGTCTGTTTGATTGAGTGTGTGGACAGGTGTCTTTTATACAGGTAACGAGTTCAAACAGGTGCAGTTAATACAGGTAATGAGTGGAGAACAGGAGGGCTTCTTAAAGAAAAACTAACAGGTCTGTGAGAGCCGCTATTCTTACTGGTTGGTAGGTGATCAAATACTTATGTCATGCAATAAAATGCAAATTAATTACTTAAAAATCATACAATGTGATTTTCTGGATTTTCGTTTTAGATTCCGTCTCGCACAGTTGAAGTGTACCTATGATAAAAATGACAGACCTCTACATACTTTGTAAGTAGGAAAACCTGCAAAATCGGCAGTGTATCAAATACTTGTTCTCCCCACTGTATGTGCTCTGAAAAAAGTAATCAGTGTCAGTGTTGTGTAGAGTTAGAGAACCCAAAAAGACACATATGTGCTCTGAAGAACATACAGCTGCAACACGGCTTAGGGCATCTCACAACACATACAAATACATTGTGTGTGTAATGATGTGCATGAAGTATCAAATACTGGATTAATTTCCCTTTTTAAAGATTAATTTCTGGCTATTTAAATTCCCATGAGCTGGAAACTGGGAAGCGAATGAAGGCTGGTGAACGAATGGGAATCTAAATGTGGATTAGTGTGAAGAGGAATTGTTAAATGAGCTCCAAGGGAATGGTAGGGCTGTGGAAGCCTCTAGGTATTCCGAGGTGCCTGGGGGACAGTGGTAGTTAGTTACAGTAGTGTTAGAACACACATGGGCACGCACATACACGCTTGCATGCACGCACGCACACACACAGTGGAAGTTCCAGTAATGTTAGAACACACATGGGCACGCACTCAGAAACCCTGTGGCGGGAAGGGAGAGATGGAGAGATGGAGAACAACATGCTGAAAGCAAGATGATTTTTGTTACCATTCTCTTGCGGACAATGTGTCACTCAATAAAAAAAAGGGCAACATAGACATACACTGACCACTAAACAAACACATGCTTCTTGTGACAATAATTACAATTTCTAATGCTCATTCAACATGATCTGCTTTCAGAGTGGTGCATCACACATAGCTCTCAGCAGCATCCACTTTCACTAGCGCCCACATTGTAGATCAATAGATCTTGTTCAAGTTATTTGGGGCGTAATGAGCTTATGGTGTCAGAATATTGACTGTAGATTCCAACACACACACACACACACACACACACACACACACACCTCAGTCTGTCTGTCTGGGGGCTTGAGTGTATCTGGCCCTGGACTAGACAGCTTTAAGCTGTAAATGGCAAAACAAGTGTCTAATGTTCTTATCTCAATTATGGTTTTGTTGTTGTTATCATATAATTAAACAGATATGGTTGTTATCCACTATGGCTCTTGCTCCAGGTAATGTGGATAGCTGACATGGTAGACAGGGTTGGAGATAGTGTCAGATTGTGTGACATGTGAAAGGGGCATTGGCTGGAGGCCTCCTCATCTCACCAATGTCAGTCAAACCCTCAGGTAGACACCTGATAGACAGCAGAAGCTGTTTTAAATAAGCTCCTCTGAGGAATACAGACACAGTAGAAATAGGCATTTTTGGACTGGGGCTGCAGAGATAAAGAGATAGACCATTTTTGGACAGCAGAAGATATATTCGATATATATACTGTATGCTTCCCAAATGGCACCCTTTTCCCTATATAGTGCACTACTTTTGACCAGAGCCACTATATAGGGAATAGGGTGCCATTTGGACGCAACCATAGACACCTTTGGACTGGGGCTGCGGAGCTGATTTCACTCCCTGATAAATTAGCTCTGAAAACAGAGAGCATGTTGTGCTGCAGTGGTTTTGTTAGTTTCTTTAAAAGCTACAATATGTAACTTTTTGGGCAACCCGATCACATAGAAATCTGAGTTATAGATCTGTCATTCACATTGAAAGCAAGTCTAAGAAGAGGAAGAACTGTTCTATGTGTGTTATTTCTATGCTTCCCATTCTTAAGTTTTGTTTTTGTGTCTTTTAGTTTAGGTTTTGTACACCAGCTTTAAAAAGCTGAAAATACAATATTTTTGGTTATGGAAAATATATTTCACAGCAATTTAGATGGTACAATGATTCTCTACACAATGACTTTGTCACATGAACTGAAAATTAGGCAAACTATTAGAATTTTTGCAACCAGGAAAAGGCGGAGCGATTTGTACATATATATACAGTGGGGGAAAAAGGTTTTTAGTCAGCCACCAATTGTGCAAGTTCTCCCACTTAAAAAGATGAGAGAGGCCTGTAATTTTCATCATAGGTACACGTCAACTATGACAGACAAAATGAGAAAAAAATATCCAGAAAATCACATTGTAGGATTTTTAATGAATTTATTTGCAAATTATGGTGGAAAATAAGTATTTGGTCAATAACAAAAGTTTCTCAATACTTTGTTATACACCCTTTGTTGGCAATGACACAGGTCAAACATTTTCTGTAAGTCTTCACAAGGTTTTCACACACTGTTGCTGGTATTTTGGCCCATTCCTCCATGCAGATCTCCTCTAGAGCAGTGATGTTTTGGGGCTGTCGCTGGGCAACACAGACTTTCAACTCCCTCCAAAGATTTTCTATGGGGTTGAGATCTGGAGACTGGCTAGGCCACTCCAGGACCTTGAAATGCTTCTTACAAAGCCACTCCTTCGTTGCCCGGGCGGTGTGTTTGGGATCATTGTCATGCTGAAAGATCCAGCCACGTTTCATCTTCAATGCCCTTTGCTGATGGAAGGAGGTTTTAACTCAAAATCTCACGATACATGGCCCCATTCATTCTTTCCTTTACACGGATCAGTCGTCCTGGTCCCTTTGCAGAAAAACAGCCCCAAAGCATGATGTTTCCACCCCCATGCTTCACAGTAGGTATGGTGTTCTTTGGATGCAACTCAGCATTCTTTGTCCTCCAAACATGACGAGTTGAGTTTTTACCAAAAAGTTATATTTTGGTTTCATCTGACCATATGACATTCTCCCAATCCTCTTCTGGATCATCCAAATGCACTCTAGCAAACTTCAGACGGGCCTGGACATGTACTGGCTTAAGCAGGGGGACACGTCTGGCACTGCAGGATTTGAGGCCCTGGCGGCGTAGTGTGTTACTGATGGTAGGCTTTGTTACTTTGGTCCCAGCTCTCTGCAGGTCATTCACCAGGTCCCCCCGTGTGGTTCTGGGATTTTTGCTCACCGTTCTTGTGATCATTTTGACCCCACGGGGTGAGATCTTGCGTGGAGCCCCAGATCGAGGGAGATTATCAGTGGTCTTCCATTTCCTAATAATTGCTCCCACAGTTGATTTCTTCAAACCAAGCTGCTTACCTATTGCAGATTCAGTCTTCCCAGCCTGGTGCAGGTCTACAATTTTGTTTCTGGTGTCCTTTGACAGCTCTTTGGTCTTGGCCATAGTGGAGTTTGGAGTGTGACTGTTTGAGGTTGTGGACAGGTGTCTTTTATACTCATAACAAGTTCAAAAAGGTGCCATTAATACAGGTAACGAGTGGAGGACAGAGGAGCCTCTTAAAGAAGAAGTTACAGGTCTGTGAGAGCCAGAAATCTTGCTTGTTTGTAGGTGACCAAATACTTATTTTCCACCATAATTTGCAAATAAATTCATGAAAAATCCTACAATGTGATTTTCTGGAGTAAAAAAATTCTCAATTTGTCTGTCATAGTTGACGTTTACCTATGATGAAAATTACAGGCCTCTCTCATCTTTTTAAGTGGGAGAACATGCACAATTGGTGGCTGACTAAATACTTTTTTTCCCCACTGTATGTGTCGGTTGAGATCACCTAACCCAAGGCGGGAACTGTGTATTGTCACCTTCAACCATACAGAGGCCACAGCCATTGTCACTGTGAGAGTAATTTACATGATAAATATGGTGATTATAGGCCATTTGAATTTCAGATGAGGATAAAGCTCTCTTAGGCCTTTTTGAACAATAAGTGTAGGTGGTAGATGTCTGGAACTAGCTGATATAGTTTCTCCGTCCCTCCCTCTCTCTCTCTGTATAGGTGGCCAAACCCCTCAGCCTCTTCCAGTGGTGGGAATGGCGAGATTATTCAATTATTATTAGATTCAAATTTTAGATTAGATTGCATTATGTTAAATGTCTGGGACTAGCTGGCATGGTTTATCACTCTCCCTCTCTCCCTCCCTTCTTCCCACACCAGGTGGCCAACCTCCTGCGCCTCTTCCAGATCCCCCAGATCAGCTACGCCTCCACCAGCGCCAAGCTCAGTGACAAGTCTCGCTATGACTACTTCGCCCGCACCGTGCCACCAGACTTCTACCAGGCCAAGGCCATCGCCGAGATCCTGCGTTACTTCAACTGGACCTATGTGTCCACCGTGGCGTCCGAGGGCGATTACGGCGAGACGGGCATCGATGCCTTCCAGCAGGAGGCCCGCGCCCGCCAGATCTGCATCGCCACCTCGGCCAAGGTCAGCCAGTTGTTGTTGTTTGTTTGTTTGTTGTTGTTGCCACTTTCACAGTGAAAATAATTAATCATTACAAAGGTTTCATACTGTGGTGACATTAACCCAACACCTACGGACCTTGTCAAGGGGTTCAGAAATCTTGGCGTGATGGTTAAGGTGTTGGCTTAAGAGTCGCTGGACCCGGGTTAGAATCCCAATTGGGGCTACCCACCAATTTCGCTACAATACTATTGCATGGTGTTAAATTACATTTGATCATGGGTTGTCGACAATGGGGTTTCTAAAGGCAATTTTACCGCGTTAGCAGAGATCGCATTCACAGTAGACGCTGCAGATGTCGGCTCAATCGGAAATTGGCTTTAAAAGCTGATTTAACGACAACCCACAATCAGATTTAATCCTGGCCTCGGTTGATTCCATTTAAAATAGTGCTGTATGTTTTGCTGCCTTGATGTTATAGACTGTCTTATTCTAGCACATGATGTTTCAAAGCTGGTGCATAATTAACAGGTGAGCCGCTCGATGAACCGGTACAGCTACGACCAGGTGATCCGTTCGCTGCAGCAGAAGTCCAATGCCAAGGTGGTCATTCTGTTCACACGCAGTGAGGATGCCAGGGAGCTGCTGGTGGCCGCCGCCCGCATGAATGTCACCTTCATCTGGGTGGCCAGTGATGGCTGGGGGGCGCAGGTAGGACCTTGGCTTCCATTCAAAAAGAGTTGATTCCCGAATCCCTAACAGTGTGAGAATCAGAATCGACTCCTTCACAATTAAGGAATAAATTCCTGTATAAGAATGTTTTCGATAAAATGTAATGTTTTGCGATTTTTATAAATGGTGTATTTTCATTCCAATTACTCCGAAAATGTGAATGATTTGCAGGAAAGTGTCGTGAGGGGAAGTGAGACGGCAGCCGAGGGGGCCTTCACCATCGAGCTGGCCTCCTACCCTATCCGGGAGTTTGCCGACTACTTCACCAAGCTGAACCCCTACACTAACACACGGAATCCCTGGTTCAGAGAATTCTGGGAGCACCGCTTCGACTGTAGTCTCACAGAGCCTGGTTGTAGCGAAAACAGTCTGCGGGACGGCAAGTTTGAGCAGGAGTCCAAGATCATGTTTGTAGTGAACGCAGTGTATGCCATGGCTCATGCCCTGCATAATATGAGGCAGGCGGTTTGCCCACCCAATGCCACCAAGATCTGTGATGCCATGAAGCCAGGCACCGGGAAGAGGTTCTATAGGGACTTCATCCTCAAGGCCAAGTTCGATGGTGAGTGAAGCAGTCTTAACAATAGAAATAGAACTCCCAGAAGGGGCAATCCCCATTCAAGTAAATTTTCCATGATGGGTGTACCGGCGGCCATATTTAGTGCATCCAATTCTGCAGGTAATATAATTACATTTATGGTAATTACATTTGCATGGCCTTAACAGCCATATAAGGTCAGGTGACTTGATTACTGGCTATATCACAATGTTAGCCTATATGCACCCTTCATTCACTACACAGGTTTAGATATACTACAGAATTAAACTGTATATGTACACTACTTGACCAAAAGTATGTGGACACCTGCTCATCAAACATCTCATTCAAAAATCATGGGCATTAATATGGAGTTGGTCCCCCCTTTGCTGCTATAACAGCCTCCACTCTTCTGGAAGGTGTTGTACTAGATGTTGGAACATTGCTGCAGGGACTTGCTTCCATTCAGCCACAAGATCATTAGTGAGGTCGGGCACTGACGTTGGGCGATTAGGCCTGGCTCGCAATCGGCGTTCCAATTCATCCCAAAGGTGTTCGATGGGGTTGAGGTCAGGGCTCTGTGCAGGGCAGTCAAGTTCTTCCACACCAATCTCGACAAACCATTTCTGTAGGGACCTTGCTTTGTGCACGGGGGCATTGTCATGCTGAAACAGGAAACGGCCTTCCCTGTTGCCACAAAGTTGGAAGCACAGAATCGTCTAGAATATCGTCTAGTATGCTGTAGCGTTAAGATTTCCCTTCACTGGAACTAAGGGACCTAGCCCGAACCATGAAAAACAGCCCCAGACCATTATTACTCCTCCACCAAACCTTACAGTTGGCACTATGCATTCGGGCAGGTAGTGTTCTCCTGGCATCCGCCAAACCCAGATTCGTCTGTCGGACTGCCAGATGGTGAAGCGTGATTCATCACTCCAGAGAAACAGGTTCCACTGCTCCAGAGTCCAATGGTGGCGAGCTTTACACCACTCCAGCCAACGCTTGGCATTGTAAATGGTGATCTTAGGCTTGTGTGCGACTGCTCGGCCATGGAAACCCATTTCATGAAGCTCCCGACGAACAGTTCCTGTGCTGACGTTGCTTCCAAAGGCAGTGTGGAACTCGGTAGTGAGTGTTGCAACCGAGGACAGACGATTTTTACGCACTACGCACTTCTGCAATCACCGGTCCCGTTCTGTGAGCTTGTGTGGCCTACCACTTTGCGGCTGAGCCGTTGTTGCTCCTAGACATTTCCACTTCACAATAACAGCACTTGCAGTTGAACGGGGCAGCTCTTGCAGAGCAGATTTTTGACAAACTGACTTGTTGGAAAGGTGCCATCCTATGACGGTGCCACGTTGAAAGTTAATAAGCTCTTCAGTAAGGCCATTCTACTGCCAATGTTTGTCTATGGAGATTGCATGGCTGCGTGCTCGATTTTATACACCTGTCAGCAACGGGTGTGGCTGAAATAGCCAAATCCAGTAATTTGAAGGGGTATCCACATACTTTTGTATATATAGTGTACCATTCATGTCATCAGAAATAATCAATTAAATATATTCTTACATTCTTATTTTCAATGTAATAACACATAATGTAAGAACAGACCGGAAGCAGCTCAGAATCACATAGTAATCCTGTTATTACCCTGAGCTAATTGAGTATTACGTTTTTTTAAATATATATATAATCAATATTGGTACATTGGGGTAATTTGAAACAAATGCAAATCTGAATTGACTGTGAGATTGGTTTCTCAGTTTATGTTGTGTCCTTGTAGAATTGAAAAGGGTTTGGTGATGATTTGATTTGCAGTGGGACCAGTAACAAATTGGGACTGAGTAAGATGCTTAGAGTAAGCAAGCAGTGTGCACTATTTTGAGAAGATGCCTCATGAATAGTTGCATTAAAGAAATGAATTAAAAAACAAACGGAGAAGATGAAGGAAACATTGACATAACATCTCATTTGTGATTTTTTGTGAGAAATTACTAGAGACTCATATTAAAAGTCAATATCTAACTAAAAGGGAGGGTTTCTCTTTCTTCTGAAATGTCATCATTCTGTTTCCCCTAATCTGAAACCCTGAAGAAGGCATCACACCGAAATTTGTTTGTTTTAATTATATAGACGCATTTCTGAAATCTACTTCCATTGTCTTCCAAGACAAGAGTGGTTGAATATTCCCCTCTTCTGCTTCCCCTCAGCTCCATTCAGACCTGCCGACACGGAGAACATGGTGCGTTTCGACGCCTACGGAGACAGTCTGGGCCGCTACAACATCTTCCACTACCACAAACAGGATGATAAATACGTGTATAGGAAGGTATGTAGCTCTCCATCCAGGAGTGCTGCACTGCGGCTGAACCTGTGCCTCTCAACATGTGTGTGTGTGTGTTTGGGTTGGGAAAAAGGCAGAAGAATAAAGTATCTCTCCTCTCCTCTTCAGGTGGGCTACTGGGCCCAGGGTCTGATCCTGAACACCAGCCAAGTGCCATGGAGGGGTCCAGCCGGAGCACCCCCCACCTCCCAGTGCAGTGACCCTTGCAGGAAGAACGAGGTGAAGAGCATGCAGCCTGGAGACGTGTGCTGCTGGATCTGCATCCCCTGCCAGGTAATACATCCACAAGCAAGGAGAGATGAGTGTGAGAGATTACTTTCTTTTTTCATTGTATAGTTTATCTTTCGATAGTCAGCAGCTCACTTTGAGGGTGTGTTCCGCCCGGCGCCATTCATTTCTGCCGGTTGAATATACACTACCTTTTTTTGGGGGTGGGGGGGGGGGGGGGGGGGGGGTAGGATAAAGATTAGGGCTAGGGTAAGTGGATAGTAAGTTGAAAGATTGTAGATATTCAGTAGATGTTTAACTATCTATTTCCCCTACCAGCCCTACCAGTACCTGCTAGATGAGTTCACCTGTGCAGACTGCAGCTTCGGACAGTGGCCCCAGGCCAACCTGACAGGCTGCTTCGACCTCCCAGAGGAGTACATCCGCTGGGAGGTACTGTCACTGTTTTCCCTCATTTTTCTCCTCTTTTCCCCCTCATTTTGTATATTTTTCTGTGTTTTGAGACATTAACGTGTGAAATAACACTTTAAATAAACCTTTCTTTGATTTAGGATGCCTGGGCCATTGGGCCCGTCACGATCTCCTGCCTGGGCATGTTGTGTACCCTCTCCGTGGTGGGCCTGTTCTTCAAGCACAATGACACCCCCGTGGTCAAAGCCAGCGGCCGTGAGCTTTCCTATATCCTCCTACTCGGGGTCCTAATGTGCTACAGCATGACCTTCATCTACATCGCCAAGCCCTCGATGGCCGTGTGTACCCTACGTCGACTAGGCCTGGGAACCTCCTTCGCTGTGTGCTACTCAGCACTGCTCACTAAGACCAACCGCATCGCAAGGATCTTCAGCGGGGTGAAGGACGGGGCCACAAGGCCACGGTTCATCAGCCCAGCCTCCCAGGTGGCCATCTGCGGCGGACTGATCTCCTGTCAGCTACTGGTGGCTGTGGTCTGGCTCCTGGTGGAGATGCCTGGCGTCAGGAAGGAGGTGAGTGTAACAGAGTTGGATTCCTTACATCACTCAAATGTTTCCACTCAAGCTACCGACTCATTAGCTTTTCTATAGAGTAATTGGCTGAGACGTTGACAAGTGTGGGGTCATGTGTGTTTGCAAGGCAGATGATCCCTGTTTCCAGCCCAGTGAGGGTCAGGGAAGAAAGCTATACTGTTAAGCAATCACAGTGACATTATTGCCCGTCACATGAGCATAGAAATATATAATAATATTCTATATTAATATACTGTATACACTACTCTATAGCTAATACGGTTCTGTTCTATTTAATTCTATGAGGTGAGCCCCGAGAGGAGGGATATAGTCACCCTGAAGTGCAACAGCAAGGACTCCAGCATGCTGGCCGCTCTTGCCTACAACTGCGTCCTTATCGTCCTCTGCACAGTCTACGCCTTCAAGACCAGGAAGTGTCCTGAGAACTTCAACGAGGCCAAGTTCATTGGGTTCACCATGTACACCACCTGTATCATCTGGCTGGCCTTCCAGCCCATCTTCTACGTCACAGCCAGCGACTACAGGGTGAGTGGGAAAAATATACTCCAATTAGGGTTGTAAAATTGTCACGAACGTTGAGAGACGGGTCAGACCAAGGTGCAGTGTGGTATGCGAACATGTTTATTAACTGAATACACACTGACAAAACAACAAAAGTCAACGAAACGTGACGTCAGAAGGCTATACACAAATAAGCCCAACACATGAAACACAAACAAGATCCCACAACCCAGGCAGCAAAACTGGCTGCCTAAGTATGATCCCCAATCAGAGACAACGAGTGACAGCTGCCTCTGATTGGGAATCACACCCGGCCAAACATAGAAATACAAATATAGAATGTCCACATAGAAATACACACACATGATATTCACACCCTGACAAAACTACCTCGAAAATAACAGTCTCTCCAGGTCAGGGCGTGACAGTACCCCCCCCCCCCCCCCCCCCCCCCCCCCCCCAAAGGTGCGTGGAGCAGACTTATCTGGCTCCGGAGTGGAGCCGCTGACCGGAGCTGGACTAGGCACTGGTGGAGCGGACTGCTCTGGCTCAGGAGTGGAGCTGCTGACCGGAGCTGGACTGGGCACCGGTGGAGCGGACTGCTCTGGCTCCGGAGTGGAGCCGCTGACCGGAGCTGGACTAGGCACTGGTGGAGCGGACTGCTCTGGCTCAGGAGTGGAGCTGCTGACCGGAGCTGGACTGGGCACCGGTGGAGCGGACTGCTCTGGCTCCGGAGTGGAGCTGCTGACCGGAGCTGGACTAGGCACCGGTGGAACGGGCACGGGCCGTGCCGGACTGGGAACACGCACCACTGGCTTGGTGCGAGGAGCATGCACGGGCCGGGCCGGACTGGGAACACGCACCACTGGTCTGGTGCGAGGAGCAGGACCGGACCGGACTGGAGACACGCACCACAGGTCTGGTGCGAGGAGCAGGGACGGGCCGTACTGGACTGGGAACACGCACCACTGGCTTGGTGCGGGGAGCAGGTACGGGGCGTACCGGGCTGGCGACACGCACCACTGGTTTGGTGCGAGGAGCAGGGATGGGCCATACTGGACTGGGAACATGCACCACTGGCTTGGTGCGGGGAGCAGGTACGGGGCGTACCGGGCTGGCGACACGCACCACTGGTTTGATGCGAGGAGCAGGGACGGGCCGTACCGGACTGGGAACACGCACCACTAGTTTGGGACTGGGAACTGACGTTAGATACTCCGACTGTACCAGTCTCTTACTCTCCGCGCCCAGTCCTCCTCCAGTGAGGACTCCTCCTTGAGCCCCCACGAGTGCAGTGTTCAGGGCTCCTCTCTATTGATCCCCGACCACCCTTTAGCCCCCCCAAAAAAATGTACTGGGGCTGTCTCTCGGGCTTCCTCCTCGGCCGGCGCCTTCTGTGTTCCTCTCCTGCCTGGGTTTCCTCCTTCGCCCAGGGTCCTTTACCTGCCAATATCTCCTCCCAAGTCCAAAATGACTTCCCCACATGTGTCCAGGGTGTCTGCTCCTGGGCACGCTGCTTGGTCCATCTTTGGTGGGATCTTCTGTCACGAACGTTGAGAGACGGGTCAGACCAAGGTGCAGCGTGACATCGGAAGCCTATACACAAATAAGCCCAACACACCGAAACGCAAACAAGATCCCACAACACAGGCAGGAAAACTGGCTGCCTAAGTATGATCCCCAATCAGAGACAACGAGCGACAGCTGCCTCTGATTGGGAATCACACCCGGCCAAACATAGAAATACAAATATAGAATGTCCACATAGAAATACACACACATGATATTCACGTGACAAAAATGCTGGTAACTTTCCCAAAATGTCCAGATTTTCCAGAAATCCTGGTTGGAGGTTTCCGGATTTCCTGCTTATTCCCCTCTGATTCTGGGAATATTCTACACAGAACTTCTGGACAATCTAGGAATTTGGAGAAAGTTACTGGAATTTTCCAACCCCAACTCCAATATATTGTGAAGACATGACGGAGTAGAACAAGGTAATTGTGCTTATCAACACTAGGGTCATTACGATATTAATGACAATGTGGGTATATTTTCTCCCAGATCATTATTAAAGAAATCTATAAGTGTCACGGAATCAGCCGAGGCTGCTCCTCCTCCCTGCTCGGGCAGGCTTCGGCGTTCGTCGTCCCCGGAGTACTAGCTGCCACCGATCTATGTTGTATTGTATTCCCTATTTAACCCTCTGTCGTTCATTGTGTGTTGTTGTTATTGTATTTGTCATCGGCAGTGTTCGTGTGCGGGTTGTTGAATCCTCCTAGTGTGGAGATTGTTTTCTACTCTGGTTACTTTTGAGTAAAGTACGTTTCCAGTAAGCTCTGTGTCCTGCGTTTGACTTCGCCTACCGCATTCACCGTCGCATTCTGACAGAATAACACACCTTCATGGAGTCAGCAGGATCGGCGGTACCAAATGGATCACTGGAGGAGCGCGTAATCCACCAGGAGGACATGATCCAGAACCTGGGCACCGCCATGCAAGGGGTGATGGACACCTTGAGGCGATGGGAGAGTGGAGGTTTGCCCACACCTCCTCCTACGATACCACCACCATCAGCCATACCCACTCCTCCGGAGTCCAGTGGGATTCGGCTCTCGCTCCCGAGGGCTTATGATGGCACCGCGGCCGGGTGTCAGGGTTTCCTACTCCAGGTTGAACTCTACCTACGGAGACGGCCGCTATGGAGACCTACGTCACCGAATCTATGAGACAGGGTTACATACGGCCGTCTACTTCCCCTGCATTCTCAAGTTTCTTTTTTGTGAAGAAGAAGGATGGGGGTTTATGCCCGTGTATTGATTACCGTGGTCTAAATCAGATCACAATCAAATACAGCTATCCTCTCCCTCTGATTGCTAGTATCAGAGTCATTACACGGGGCGCGATTCTTCACAAAATTGGATCTCAGGAGCGCGTACAACCTGGTGCGCATTAGGGAGGGAGATGAGTGGAAGACAGCATTCAGTACCACCTCGGGTCACTATGAGTACCTCGTCATGCCATACGGGTTAATGAATGCTCCTTCAGTCTTCCAATCATTTGTGGACGAGATTTTCCGGGACTTGCATGGACAGGGTGTTGTGGTATATATTGATGACATTCTAATATACTCCGCTACACGAGCCGAGCATGTGTCCCTGGTGCGTCGAGTGCTTGGTAGACTGTTGGAGCATGACCTGTATGCGAAGGCGGAGAAATGTCTGTTCTTCCAGGAGTCCATCTCCTTCCTGGGACATCGGTTGTCCGCGTCAGGGGTAGAGATGGAGATTGACCGCGTTTCTGCCGTGCGTAATTGGCAGACTCCCACCACGGTAAAGGAGGTGCAGCGCTTCTTGGGTTTTGCCAATTACTACCAGCGCTCGGGTACGCCACCTAAACTCCGCCCCTGTGCTTTCTATTCTAAGAAGCTCAGTCCGGCGGAGCGCAATTATGACGTGGGGGATAGGGAGCTGCTGGCTGTGGTTCAAGCCCTGAAGGTGTGGAGACATTGGCTTGAGGGGGCTAAACACCCTTTTCTCATTCTGACTGACCATCGTAACCTGGAGTACATCCGGGCAGCGAGGAGGCTGAATCCTCGCCAGGCAAGGTGGTCAATGTTTCTTTCCCGCTTTGTAATTAAGCTCACCTATAGACCAGGGTCCCAGAACGCTAAGGCAGACGCCCTGTCCCGACTATATGACACAGAGGAGAGGTCCATTGAGCCCACTCCCATACTCCCAGAGTCTTGTTTAGTGGCACCGGTGGTGTGGGAGGTGGATGCGGAAATCGAGCGGGCGTTACGTTCCGATCCTACTCCTCCACAGTGTCCAGACGGTCGGAGGTATGTGCCGCTCGAGGTTCGCGATCGTTTGATATACTGGGCTCACACGTCACCCTCCTCTGGTCATCCGGGTATTGGTCGGACAGTGCACTGCTTTAGTGAGAAGTACTGGTGGCCAATCTTAGCTAAGGACGTGAGGGTTTATGTTTCCTCCTGCTCGGTGTGCGCCCAGTGTAAGGCACCTAGACACCTGCCCAGGGGGAAGTTACAACCCCTACCTGTTCCACAACGGCCGTGGTCTCACCTATCGGTGGATTTTGTGACGGACCTTCCCCCCTCCCAGGGGAACACTACGATCTTGGTCGTTGTGGATCGGTTTTCTAAAGCCTGCCGTCTCATTCCCCTGCCAGGTCTCCCTACTGCCCTACAAACTGCTGAGGCCCTGTTTACACACGTCTTCCGGCACTATGGGGTGCCTGAGGATATAGTGTCTGATCGGGGTCCCCAGTTCACCTCTAGAGTCTGGAGGGCATTTATGGAACGTCTGGGGGTCTCGATTAGCCTTACCTCAGGTTTTCACCCCGAGAGTAATGGGCAGGTGGAGAGAGTTAACCAGGATGTGGGTAGGTTTCTGAGGTCATATTGCCAGGACCGGCAAGAGGAGTGGTCGGGATATATTCCCTGGGCAGAGATAGCCCAAAACTCCCTCCGCCATTCGTCCACTAACCTTATGCCTTTCCAGTGTGTGTTAGGTTATCAGCCGGTTCTGGCACCTTGGCATCAGAGCCAGACCGAAGCCCCTGCGGTGGACGAGTAGTTTCGGCGCTCGGAAGAAACTTGGAACACATGTCCATCTGCAGCGGGCCATCAGGCGGCAAAAGGCGAGCGCCGATCGCCACCGCAGTGAGGCTCCGGTGTATGCACCGGGAGACCGGGTCTGGCTCTCGACCCGAAACCTGCCCCTTCGCCTGCCCTGCCGGAAGCTGGGTCGGCGGTTTGTGGGGCCCTTTAAAGTCCTGAGGAGATTGAACGAGGTATGTTATAGGTTACAACTGCCCATTAATTACCGCATTAACCCCTCGTTCCATGTGTCTCTCCTCAGGCCGGTGGTGGCTGGTCCACTCCAGGAGAGTGAGGTACGAGAGGCTCCTCCGCCCCCGTTGGACATCGAGGGGGCTCCGGCGTACTCAGTCCGTTCCATCTTGGATTCGAGGCGTCGGAC